TCCCAAGAAATTAATTGTTCCTGTCACTAGACAAATCTGCCTTGGCCTTGAGAGTGACTGCAGATCAACAGGGCCCAGTGAGGACAGCCAACTAGTTGCTGAATTGAACTAGGAAATTGAAAACCTTTACTCCTATGCAAAAATGAAAAACACACAAAATGTGATTTCAATGCAAGTGAGAGAAGAGATGGGTTGTTATTTAACTGACAAGTGACCCACTTTCCCAAGTCTTTCCACCATCGAACACCTTCTCCCTGTTTTTCCACCACTGAGCAAACATTAATTTCATAGAATGATGCCATAAATCTAGGATGTTTTAATCCAAGGAATTTTAGGAAGAATTAAAATATTCACTATAAAGAGTAATACAGTAAAAGGCGACTCGGACAGTGCCACAAAGGCAGAAAAGGGAGGTAGTGCGGCCATACCTCAGAGACGTTGGGGGCTAAATTATAGATCTCTGGGATAAATTGAGTATCGCAATAAAGTGAGTTGTAATATTTTTTTGCTAGTGGAGCACCCCATCTTCAGTTTGAAAAATGGAACACCTGTGAGGCACAGTAAGGCAAGTGCAATAAAATGAGGTATGCTTATAGCTCATAAAAAGAGAAAATAAAAATTAGAGATCTTCCAGTTGAATGTTTCCCAGGTTTTCCTGATTTATAAATGGCATCATAATAATGTTTTCAAAATCAGGAGCATTAAAATTTATTTTGGGGAAGGATAATAATAATACAGGTCTTTCTGTGTACCTGATTCTACTTTAAATATTTTAGTAGCTGACCTTATTTAATCATCCCAACAACACCATGATGTAGGCTGGCATTGCTTCTCCTGCTTTATATATAGATAAGTACAATGAGATTAAATGACCTTCTCAACATCCCACAGCTAGTTCATCACAACAAACCCAGGGCTCCAAGCCAGGTGTCCCTGCTCCAGAGCCCGTGCTCTTCCTCTGTAGCATAAGAAGAGACTTTAAGTTAAATATCAACACTTTTAAATACTATGTCATAAGATTATGTTTCATACTGTATTTAAAGTTAATTATAACCTATGAAGACATGTGTTTACTTTCTTTCATTTAACTAGTGGCCCATGCTGCTTAGTTTATTTCAATAACAATTTTTCTATTGTTTGAAATAAAGCATAATCTAGAAATTATTTTAAATTAAATATGACATTGCATTAGGCTGGAAAACAAACACACCTTGTAAAATGGCCCTGGCTGGTGTAGCTCAGTGGATTCAGCATGGGCCTGTGAAGCAAAGGATCACTGGTTCGATTCCCAGTCAGGACACATGCCTGGGTTGCAGGCTAGGTCCCCAGTAGGGGACACATGAGAGGCAACCATACATTGATGTTTCTCTTCCACAGTTTCTCCTTCCCTTCCCCTCTCTTTAAAAAGAAATAAAAAGTTTTTAAAAAATGTAGACTGAAACTTAACTCTGTACTACCATGCTAAAAGTGCAAAACTGCTTTCATTATTTGGTGGGCAGTATTCTTATAATTTATTCATAAATGTTGAATATAAACTTATAGTGTGTGTTGTATTTCTAAGTGATGACATTAGAGAGGTTTTAGGGTATTATTTTCAAGCTTTCCTCACAAAGCATCTGTTGTATTTATAGCCTTTATAACCCTCAAACCCAAAGCCAAATGAATATGATATTTACTGCTTTTCTTTCTACCATTGTTTGCCAAATGCAAAAACAGCAGATCTTGAAATGTTAAAAGGTCAGTTTAGGGCAAATTCAAACGAGCTATTAACTGTTTGTGGTAGCAGGAAAATCAAACCAGTAGCTGTCATAAGCTGGGGGAAGGAGAAACCATAAAGGGCGCCAGAAACCTCTGGGAGGCTATGGAGAGGTTCATCATGGGGGTGCCAAAGCTGCTCATCCAGCAGTGTGCTTTAGATGGGTGTAGTTTATTATATGTGAAGCATATTGTGATAACATGGACAAAATGGGGGAAATGTTATTTCATGCTTTGAAGAATGAGCTTATGGAACTCATTTACCCAAAGAACAGTTTCAACCTAAAAAGTTACATAATAAGAATAATAATGATGTGACAAAATAAATTTAAAAAGGACTTAGATGAAAGACATTGCAGATACTGTGGCATAAATATCTAAAACATTGAAACCAACATTGGAAATAACAATCGGGGTCTAACAAATGCACCTTGTCTTTACTACAGACATAAAACACTGCTATTGGTACTCTGATTAGCCACTGAAATATTAAGTAGGAATAACAGGTTACATGGAGAAAAATATAACCAATTGCTTAATTGATAACCTTAATTTATCACTGTCTCTGTGGAAAATCTATAGTTCAAAATCTCTGGCACAGCACTTCTTGGCCTCTTACAGGCATGAACCCTCACCACAACTTAGGTCGGTTTTATCAAAACAAAAGGCATAAAAAAGGGACAAATGCAGTTTTTTAAAAAACAGTCATATTTATGCTGACGACCAACTGTGATTTGTGTTCTACATAATGTAAGGGAAGCGTTAAACAGCCAATGGGTTTCACGTTCATTTCTACCACGTTCCCCATTTAACTAGAAAACATAGGCAAAGGCTTTTAAGAGGTGGATTTACTCCAGCTTAGCAACAGCTTCCATTTTCTCAATAACTAATCTATGACTGTATTAGATTTCTATATAAATTGCCTGCTTTTTCCCAGTGGCTACTTACTGTTTATTTGAAGAAAGTAAAGTTTTTAACAAAAAGTAAAAATGTTAAGGAGTGTAGCCACTATCCCGCCCAGTGAGGGCTGGCTTCTGTTGTTATTGTTTTCCATTAGTGAGCTGTCTTTTTCTCAATACTGTGAAATTTTTCCCCAAATTAAGCTTGTTAGAAAACTCTGATGAATGAGTCCTTCTTGGTCAATAAGCTTAACACTAATTAACTTGTTAATTAATCTCAAGTATTCATTAAGGTGCATGGGCATCCAACAAAAATTATTAGGTGGGAAGGGTTGTCTGATGTGTCATAGTTTCTGAGTACCAGTGCAGGGGTTTTCTGCGCAACTGAAAATGTGTCTTACATGGGGAAGAAGAGAACCAGGGAGAAACACCATCTTTATTCTACAAGAGGTGGGAGTGAAAATAGGATCCCACACAGCCCTGAGTTCCTCACTGGTGTTAGTGAATGAGAGAGGAAGAGCTTGAGCTAAGTTCTCACCATATCGGTGCCATGGGATTCTGCATCATCCACCCTCAGGTCAACCCGAGAACCACTTCATTGCCCTATATCAAATATTAGGCTTCTGTAAAAGATTGAGCTTGAAAAAATGGCTTGCTGTTGAATATATTTGTAAATGACCCTTGAGTGATGCACTCACCAGACCTACTGGGGCCGTGAGTTTAAATGCACAGGCTCAAAGTTGCCCCAATGCAGAATGCCCTGCACTTCTATGAGCAGCAAAGGGTGGATATAGTCTAGAAGCTGTGACTGACCAGTGAGGATTTCAGAGAAAACCTTAGTTTAATCAAGTTGATGTCATACTGGAGATTATTAGCAAAAGCAAAATTGTAAAAGAGAACCAAATGAGTTACCCCAGTCTGGTCAGTGTACAAAAAGAGACAGAGACTAAAAAGAAGGGACTCTTTAAAGATTGTAGGGTAGAAAGATCCTGGCTGAACTAATTTGTGATCAATAATTTCTCCCTATACTTTACCCACATTTCATCGCCACTCCATCTAACAGCCTCACCGGTTCTTCTAGGAGCAGTGTAAATCCCTTTGTCCCTTGAGGCTGATGGCAGACAAAGCTACCCAGCTCTGATTGCCATCCATCCTGCTAAAACACAGGAAGAACTTCTTTGATGAGGAAAGCAGTTCAGCAAGTAAAATTTCCTACAGCAGTAGTCTGAAAATCCCTGGGTTTCTCATTCTGTTCTCCCATCTAGGTGGACGCTGCCCCAGGGGGAGCTACAGCTGGGGTTTTGAGGGCTGTTGTTCACTGGGGCATTTGCATATGTATAGTGACCTGTGTGTGGGGGGAAGAAACACTCACTAGACTACAAGAAAGAAGGGATTTAGGTAAGCAGAGGTGAAAACTGACACTGAATCCCAAGCATGTCAGCATCTCTTTATAGGTGATTTCATATAGCAGGCTTGACAGAATAATTCAAAAGGAAAACAAACAGACCAACAAACAAAAAACCCTGAATTCTACTTACTGGAGCTAACTAGAGCTGAAAATCCTCCAGTGCTACCAAAAGCTGTTTTGTCAATGCAGGAGGAATAAATCAGGAAAAATGTAGTTCACCTTCAGTGGAGCCAAGTGATTGCAAGAATCAACTCATTCACCATTTTGTATCAGTGAGAAATTCAATAAATAGAGGCAGAATAGGAGTCAATGAATGTGCCTAAATAATACCTTAGCTTTGTGCTCACTGGACTTTTAATTTGGTAAATAAATGCCTTCCACTGGGCATGCACCCTGGTGTCCAGGCAATGACGTGGATTAAATACTTTGTTAGCTCTGTGAAGCTGAATGTATCTCAGAGGTCTAGCTAACGATAATGGACCTGGAACATTTGGCCTACATATCCTTGCTGTTTAATTTCAAACACCAAAAAGGGCATGTGGGGGCAACAAAACCCTGAGGTTATAAATACCACCTTTCTAGTAGTTTTAAGTCTGCTAACTGTATAAATAAGATACATACACCTTCAAGTTAAGAAATACAAGTGTATGGATGCCTATGTAAAACCATCACAAACTGCCTTACTCACGATACGAAGTTAACCCTAAGCAACTCTCCTGGTGTAATACTGGAGGGAGATTTCACAAAGGAAAGATGCCCACTGCCCTCCTAATCCATTACACAAAAATAATACAAGAAGCAGAATGACTGATATTTTCTAGATTCCCAATTCTATGATTATTCAGAGGAGCAAAGAAAACCTACACATAGGTTTCTGTTACTCTCCTATTTTCCTCATTCCTTTCTCATTTATTTTCCTTATTTCTGTGTTGGTCAAGTCATATTTAAAGTGTCACACTTCATGCAGAGTTCCTGAAGTCCTTTAAAGGGAAGAGTAAGAAAACGTTTATGAGAAACACAGGAAAACAACTCGGAATTACTCAGCCTAAGGAAGGTAAGGCCAATGAAAGATGAGGGTGGAGGTGGGAGCAGTCAGAGATAACAAGAGCCTTCTTTATATATCTGTTTGAAGGGATGACATGTTTAAAAGTCTTATACAACTTCAAAGGCAAAAAGCTATAGTAATAAATATTCCAGATAAGTTAAACAGGGAAATGAGCTATTTGTACATGAAATGAACTTAGGAGGTGGTGAAATTCCTATCACTGGTGTTGTCAAAAAATAAACTTGAAGCCCTGGCTGGGTAGCTCAGTTGGTTAGAGAGTTGCTCCCAATACATCAAGGTTGTGAGTTTGATGCTCAGGGCACATACAAGAGTCAACCAATGAATGCACTGGACCAATGAATGCATAAATAAGTAGAATAACCAACTGTTTTTCCCTTGCTTGCTCTCTCAAAAAATCAATCAATAAAAAAATAACTTGATTTAATATAAGGACATTTAAAAAGGCATTCAAAATCAAATTAGGAGTTAAACTAGACAGTGTTTAGGTTTTGACCCACCCTGAGAGGGTTGGAAAACAGATCAGTGTCATGTCACCGAAAAGCAAACCTTCACAAACTCAAAGCCCACCCATGTAGCTCCTCTGCAACAAGGAGCAGGGCAGGGCTATTGGGAAAACCAAAGGACTTGAAGAGCAATAACTAGGAGAAAGTCAATTGGTTCTAAAAGAGAAAAGCCAGAGCCCTGGAGAAACGTACAAGTTATTGTCCTTGAGCAAGTCAACTTGACCTTCTAAAGTACAGCTTTGTTCAAATTTCTATAAACACTTGCTTAACTTACAGGCATGCTGTGTGGCTTATCGTAATCCTAGAGAGACACAGGCCCCTGAGCACAGCAGTGCCTTAACCTGGGCGGCTGTTAAGGGTGTACGCACCCGCATTTACCGCATTTTGTGGCTGGATAAACAGAAGCACCAAGGAGCTGAAAGTGTAGCTAAAAGAATCATACATTTAGCCAGGGGCTGATACAAAACCTTTCTAGAATTCTGCCTTCTTGCCGACTCTGTTTCTACAGAGATTTTAAAAAAGTACTGAGCATTTGAGCAAGGCCAAAACTAACAAACAAACAAAAACAAAGTGAAGATGAATTCCCTAATACTCACCTTTGCTAGAAGAGGGACGAATTCAACCCTGGTTTTCACCACCCACACTCTCACAGATATCCCCACCACCACCCCATGTCCAAGGCTTAAACAAAGAGACAAGGTAAGCAATCCTACAGAATTCACTATTTAAGTTCTGACCTCTAATATGCCAATCCCTTGCTTATATAAAGACAAATTTATTATATACAGAGTTACCTTCTGAAACCCCTTTTGGCTAGAATTTGAAAGAGGCCCGGGGCCCAAGCCGATCCCAGAGAGCCACATATGAGAAGCTGACCCTCGGAGTCCCCTCGAAATCACTGAGAGAACTTCATCAGCAGATACGGAGGCATCGCCCCAGGGCTTACTAAATCGAAACCTTACTTTTCAAAAAGCCTTGCAGATGATTTGCAGCTCACACAAGAATCACGTGGTCTGTAGCTCAGGCCTGCTCTGACCATCCCCCCAAGCTCTGCCTTGTCCAATGTGGTGGCCACACAAGCTCCTGAGCACGTGAAGCACGGGAGACCCCAATGGGGATGCACGGCATATGCGAAAACATACTGGACACCCAAAACTCAGCACTGAGGACAGACTGCAAAATGTTGATTGCATGTTGAGATTAGAATGTTCGGACATATAGTAAGAAATAAAATAGATCATTAAAATGAATTCCTCCTGTTCCCTTTAATTTTTTAATGTAGTTCAATAGAAAACATTAAACCACACGTGTGGCTTCTAGGTAACACATGAATTGCCTCTTGCATGACTGCAGACTTCTGTCTTTTGAAAGTGTATGCTTTCCCATGCTATGTCTCATTTGTCTCATTGTCCTTACAAAACCTCAACAGAAGGAAATCGCTCAGGCTCACTGAGAACTACACCCTTTATTAACTTCTTCCAGTTTATAAACCTCTTGCTGCTCTTTTATGTCTTGACTCACTCCAGCTTCTTTGAAACTGTTAGTTTGAATTAAAGGCCACAGTCATCACCCCTCAGGCCTCTGTAGAAAAGAGGCGACCCTTAGTTCTGTGCCCTTCACAAAATATTTCCCAGTGACTTGATCTTCAAAGCATGGTGCTTATTGAACATTACAGTCACAATTACGAATCTGGGGATCAATCATTACTTGCCTTCGTGGTGTTGGCTCAAGCATTTGTCACTTCCCTATCTACTCTATCCAATTATTGAAAATTTGAGCCCTGGCTGGTGTGGCTCAGTGGATTAAGTGCCAGTCTATGAACCGCAGAGTCACCGGTTCAATTCCCAGTCATAGTACATGCCTGGGTTGCAGGCCAGGTTCCCAAAGGGGGTGCGAGAGATGCAAACACATTGATGTTTCTCTCTCGCTCCCTCCCTCCCTTCCCTTTCTCTAAAAATAAATAAATAAAGCTTTTGGAAAAAAGAAAGAAAACTTGAGTCAAGTTCCATGCTTACCTATCTATTCATCAATGAGGGAAAGAAAAGAAGTCACACGGTCTCCAATACGAAGAAGTTAGTTTCATCAGGTTAGACATGTTTAGACAACACAACCAACTACACATTGGAGTGGGAACAGCTGACGCAACAGGGAAGACATTTGAGACAAAAATGTCATGAGCGAAGGTCCGGAAGCTGCCGTGGAAATGACTGTGTAGAGCACAAGGGCTGCCTGGCTCCTGGGAAGGTGCTTGAAGACATGGGTGGTGACAGTGGCTCCACGTGTGTGTGGGGGGGATGCAGGTGGAAAAAGTCTGTGGGGCTGCCCTACTCAGCACAGCCGTGTGTTCTTGCCTCACGAACTGAACTGTAAGCACAGTTCTCTGTGCAGCTGGAACTGGCTCGGGCCATGTAGCTGACCGCTCAGCAGCCAGTGCCGAGGAGGCCCTGCTGCTGCTTCTCAAGGGCAAAAGGTGACACTCGATGGAGGTCAGTACTGAAGGAAGAGTGACAAGACCCGATTCCAACGCCTGCTCTTCAAGCAGTAACTGTGTCACCCGATGCAAGTCATGGAAACCCAGAGGCTTTGTGTGTGTCCTCCTCTGTGGGATATTTGTTTGAGAGTCTCAGGTAAGACCCACAGCCTTTGCCACTTTAGTTTACTATGCCCACAATATGATAGGCTTGAAGGAACATAAACTTTGGAGGTAGCCTGTGAAGTGAATATTTCTCAATCTCAGTTTTCAAATTGCAAAAGAGAGAGAATACCACGTACCTTCTATGACTGTTATAAAAAACTTAAGTGGGATCATTTATATAAAGCACCTGGCATGCAACGCTGTATGCACTCAATCAATGATAAGGTCCTTCTCCAATTATTATGATTCCAAATGATGTCAAGCCACAGCGAAATTTTTATGCACACACATTCAGCGTTAGTTTTAGTCAAAAATGAGAAAATAATAATTCCCTGTGTGCATAGCTATTGACATTTATAGGGAAACTCGCAGCATTCATGGGACGATGGCATGTCATCCTTTGTCATTTCATCTTGTGGAGGAAATCCTTCCACTCATTAGTGCCAGAATGCAACGATGGGTCTTCTACCGGGCATCAAAACCAGGTTTCTAGACCTTCACTGACAATGGGAAAATACTGGTTTTTTAAAGAACCATCCAACTCCCTCTGACACCAGGAATAACTCAGACATACTCTGCTCAGCAAAATAAAAAGTAACTGAGAAAATCATTTCCCCATGAAACAGTCCTATCCAACTTCGTTCTGAGCATGACACATTTTTATTAGCACATTCTTCTGTTTTGCTGTTTCCAGACAGCCCCATTAACAGTAGTCCGACTGCTGTCATTACCGTGTGCCATAAGCTCACAGGAAAGGGGCCATACTGAGGTCTGCCGCGACCGGCGGAGACGTGGGCAGCATGCGGGTGGGTTCTCCTGTACGTGAAACAGCTCCCTCTGTGCTGGCGCATACGCCCCCAATTAACCACACACCACCACCTGAGAGTTAAAGCAGCCAAAAAGTCGTCGCTGAGAAAGTGTCCTACTAATGGATACAAAACGGGCAGAAGGTTTATCACCCTGTTTGAAGTTTGGTTTTTGCTTTGTGTCTTCCAGGTGGCCAGCAGCGAAAGTCTTTGTCTGTGCTCACAAAGGCCCCCTGAAGAGTATGTGAATATACAGGGTGGGGCCAAAGTAGATTTACAGTTGTTCCTGTGGAAAATAATGTGATAGTTAATAAGTTATGATACAGGGACAAACTGTCTTTCACGTACTTACAACTGTAAACAACTGCCAACCCCAGTAAAAAGGTCAAATTAATGGGGTTTTTCCCCATTATTTTTAAAAGCTAAATGATGGTATAAAGAAAGTTTAGATTGGTCACAAAGTAATCTAAAACTGAGGAGTGAAGTTATTCATATACATATATACGTATATATGCATATTTGATATATAATTATTTTAATGGTTATAAAAAGATGTTCATAAGAAAATAAGACAATCAACATTCAGCTTATGAAGTATAATACTTGTTTCTATACAACCCTGCTGACAATTGACAAAGAGATGAATCACCAAAAATTCTCATTATTAAATCATAATTTAAAAGTCTCTACCTACAGGAGTTATAATCATTCACTGAATATTTGCAGTAGAGATCTGATGTATATTTGTCAGCAATATAAGAGCCTTCCTTTCTTAACTATGTTACTAATAATTCTCTTCTCGCCTCTCCAATACAGCTACAAGGAGAGGTCCTGAGATCAACAGCACAGCCAACCGCTCAGGCAGGACAGGCGGAGCCGGGGCAAGTCTCTGCTCAAGTACAGAGTGGGAGGAGTCTGCACTCCAGCCTGGGCCATTTCAGACTTACAGAGAAGCTAAGCTTGATGCAAAATGCCACAGCTCCCTCACCCACTGCTACTGTGCTTTGGAGAGAACAAAGCATTGACACATACTCAGATTAAAATTAAGGTTATAACCTTTTCGGAGATCCAAATTTGATTGGGGGTAGGGAGGTAAAGGAGTAGCAGTTTGGGGCAAAGGGTCCCTCAATGAGGAGGGGGTGAAGGGAGAATGACATAACAGAGGGTAGGAATAGGGGATGCTTTATCCCTTCACAATGTAGCCTAGGCCCAGCCTTACAGAGAAAGCAGCCACCAAGCTATAAGTCAAGTCCAAGTCTCTGGTAACTCCAGAACAAAGGAGTCACACATCATTTCTGACCTGTATCCTGCTTGACTTGTCAGACACTTCATATAATGGTGATTTTCATACCTCTCCTGGGTCCACCCTTTCCATTCTAAGGCACTAGAGAAATATGCACACTCCCTTCCAAAGTACTGAAATAGCAGTCTCTCCAGGAAAACCCATGGTATTAATGCATTTAATGAATATGGCATCAGTATAATTGTTCCACTCACTTACATCCTAAACTGTAGGCTATTGAGGGAGGAAGAGAAGGACAGAAAGCACATCTGGCTCCCTAAGGGGGGACTGGTGTCTTTACTAATGCATCTGTTAGTCTATTCTTGAGTTGTGGCTCCCACAGATTTCAGACTAATTGTATTCAAATTAACAGCAGTAAGGGGCACTTAATCCTGTGTTCCATTTTCATGTCTTCCTTCAAGATACATCATAAGGCAGCTCATACAGTACAGTACCACACTGGCCACCACCTTTATGAACACCCAGAAGGGCATCAGTGAAAGGAAAATAAATAGCAGGAGATGCTGTGTTAGTTGATATTAATAAGAGGTTTCCTAGGAGGTCGGCTGTTGTTCTTAGATCTCTGATCTAAAGGATATGTATCAGTTATTCACCAGGTTGTGAATACTATTAAATTATATACATATCAACAAAAAAAACATGTGGCTTCTACAAGAGGGCTCTTTAATTTTGTATTTTTCTCCAAAAAAAAAAAGAAAAGAAAATTAGCTGCTTAAATGGGTTTCCATTAACTGGCCACAAAGATGCAAAGGATTCCTTTTGGTGGCAAGTCCCGTTAGCTGAACTGGCGTGACTTGGGACGCCACAGCATTATTGCTACCCAGAACCTCTGGTGAGATGTGTTTCCAACTTTCTGCAAGGCACTGATGCCACTTAAGAAGTGCAGTGGTTTAGAAGTAGGTGCTAATGAGCCAGTGTGTTGGGATACCAATGGCTGTATTTCGGGAACTGTGTAGAACTGAATTCTTTGACTAATAAGTGATTCTTGAAGATTTCTGACTGCTTCTGCCACTGTACCCTAAAGTCTGTTCAAACTTTCAAAGTCCCAGTCCTAGCAGAAGTCAGTGACCATCCAATGGGAACTCAGGTTGTTTCTACCCCAAACCAAATATTAAAAGATTAACACCCACCTCTGTCACTTCATCCTTCCAAACCTGAAAACACTTCCTTGATGCAACAGTGAAGGGTCTAGGTATTTGTCCTGAAGCTTTAGACACAAGTATAAAGAGAGAGGGAAGGGCGCAATGTGCCAGAGCCCGCTGGTGAGAATAAGCCTATTCCTCCATGCTGATTTTAAAATGCAGAATATGGCATTACTGTGAAAGATGGAATGGCAGAGGGGGAGAAGCTTCCTTGGCAAGGTCCTGCTCATTTCCACTCTTCTTGGTTTTTGTTGTTCTACTTGTGGCTTTTTTTTCTTTTTTCTTTTTTTCTCATCACAATCAGGAACCCTGAGCAGACTTTGAATGGTACTCCGACATATAGACATATATTTTAAAGACAGGGGAGCTAATGCTTTAGCATTTGTCCAATTCAACAGAGGCACTTCCATGCTCAATCAGGCTGTCATGGGGTCTATGGCCTGGGGGAACATGGGACCGCACTAAGGGCTTTAAAATCATCATTAATGTACAGTGAGATGGATAATAATATGCCCAACATGCCTTTACCTGTCAAGTACGGAGCAAGCTTCTGGCACCTGCAGATGGACTGAAAATGAAATGAAATGCTGGCAGCGCCTCTGCAGACCTGGGAGGAAGCAGGCTGCTGCGTCTCTGACAACAACTGTTCCCCGGGGAATGCCAGATTGCTGTTAGCAAACTAAGGGAGGCAGGGTCACCATAAACAACCAGAGAGATTACCTCTGAATAACGGGGAGGGGCCCTGACCAGTAAGAGGCATGAAGGAAGAGGGCACAGTTCTTTTATTTTTTAATGTAATAAAAATAATATTTAAAAGCAATTAGCTCCAAGGTGGTCCTATCCCCATCTCTATTTTCAAAACTCACTCTGCAGCAGGCTTGGGCTTCGAAGGAGGTTCGCTTGCAGCTGGCTTTCAACAGGAAATGAATGCACTCACCTGATTTAAACTAGCTCACCTAAGCACTGTTCAGTGGTGTGGAAAATGAGTATAGTTAAAATCCAGAAACCGAAGCCAAAAGTCTCATTGTCTTCACTCCACTGACTTACTGTGTGACACAAATATTCTGTCTCACATCTGTGAATCAGGGATAATGATTCTTTTGTTGGTTTGGTTAGAAATATGGAAGCAGAAATATAACATGCCCAGGGTATCCCTTTGGCAATCACTTCTAAAATGCAGAGACAGTTTCTTTGTAACGGGGAAAGCTAATAACCCAAAAGTGACTATATGCCGTAACAAATAAGAAAATGAAATGGCATTACCATGTTTAAAATAGAAAATTTATTTGTGTAACACCTATACTTTTGTCATTTAAAAGGAACTGTATGTTTGACTGTTACTTTAAGCAACATAAGAATGGAGTGCAGCGCTAGCTGATTCATTGCACGCTATATTGCTGTTCCGCACAGTAACTTTTTTCGAATGGGTTCGTTGGACAGAACGAAATGTCTGTGCAGCCCGCTCTTTGGCCTCATCAATCCTACTTCATATGTGTATCCAAACCTGCTGCAAGTGCCCAACCCCACCCAGCCCTACAGAGGCTGATGTGCAAACCACGCTCCCCATTCTTCTTCGATCAAGTTCTGGCTGTTAGCTGAGCTTGCTGTCGAATCATGGACATTAAAAAACATACAATTACCATTGCACATTTACCTACTGCCTTCAAACGGAGCTTGTCTGCAACTGAGAAAAAACTGTACGTGGCATGTTACCATCAGGAAATCAGTCATGTTTGTTTTCTTCTCTCAGTCGGAAAAAATCTCAATGGTAGTTACTTTTCACTTGATTTGCATTATGAGAAAGGAAATGTCATAAACTCAAATACTTGCTAAAACACAACAAAGGTGGAGAGTGCGAAGCCACCTGTATTTTCTTCACACATTTACCTAATGAGATATTTTAGGGTCATCTTCAACTGTACCTCTTACGATTGATGAGTGCTTTTTGATATTACATTGCCCAGGCCTTTATAGACCAGCTTGTTTTTGAAACACTGGTGAAAACATTTGCCAGATTTAAATGTGTTTTCAAGTAGTCATTTTTTCTTAAAGGTGTTATTGATTTATTTTTAGAGAGAGGGGAAGGCAGGGAGAAAGAGAGGGAGAGAAACATCAATGTGCGAGAGGTAAATCAATCAGCTGCCTCTCGCACGCCCCCAACTGGGGGGGGACCTGGCCTACTACCCAGGGATGTGCCCTGACTGGCAATTAGACAGGCCATCTTCTGGTTCACAGGCTGGCACTCAGTCCCTAAGCCACACCAGCCAGGGCTCAGTTAGTCATTTTTAAGTGCAAAAAAAAATCAGTGCAGTGTAACATGCAACTAACTACCCCCAACCCCACCCCACCGGCTGTCTGTTTCTTTTTTATCTTATTCCCTATACTTTGTTTCTGTGCCTGACATCTTTCTTTTTTTCCAAGTTAGTGATGCATCTGGCAATGTAGCCAGCAGGTGCAGCCTCTAGACAAAGTCACTTTCCTGTGCTTATGCCTGCCCCTTCTCGGTAGAATCTCGCATCGGTCACACACGTGTGATGGTGACAGTAGCAGCAAGGACAACACTTCATTTTGTTCCGTACTTGCAGTTTGCAAGGTGCAGTCCCAGAAGAAACCAGACCCAGATCTTTCCATGTAAGCTCAGCTATGTCCCTACTCCACTGTAGTTCACTTTTCCGATCCATAAAACAATTCCTAATTTTAAGTCGCTTACATGATTGAAGAGGAAAAAAGTTGTGAGCATAGAGGGGGAGCTATCATCGCCTTCATAACCTTTGGTAGGTTTTCTGAGTTATTTAATACTAATAGTAGTGTAACTAAAAGTGGAGACAAAAATCAGGAAAGTAATAGGAACAGCTGATGATTGGAAATTCAAAGTAACCTGGACAATCCTCCATCAGCAGCTGAGAGGGCGTGGCACCCAACCTCCAGGGCAAACTTGTCAGAGGTGCGCAGGGCCACCTGCCTGAACAGGAGTCCGATGGAAATATTCAGGAAGCCAAGGACTGATTGCTTAGGAGACAAGAGCAAGGAAAACTTTCTCCTCTCTAACTCTGCATATTTTAAGTAGTTCACAATGTGTATTTGTTACTTGTGTAACAAAGGAATAAATAAAATTGAAAAGAAAATAAATAAATAAGCCAGGTAGTCACATTGTCCAGGGGGTCTGACTACTTACTTTTCAAACCTGACTTCACATCAGAATCGGTTGTATTGAGTCACATGGCTATTCCTTTAGGGAAAAAAAAGCAATATCCCGAGGTTTGTCAGTCCATATACATCTACAATTAGGTGAAGATCAAGTATATATTTATAAACAAAAGTAAATTATTAGCAGAAAATCCATATTTTTGTAGTAATATCAGGAAGACAAAGTCTTCCAAGTAGACTCTCCTATATACTTTTGGTTTAATACAGACACCTTGGTCCCAGGACCCTCTTCCTTAAACGGAATTCTGACTTAGTGGTCTGAGATGAGGTTTAGCTTTATGTACCTCGAGGAAATTTCCTGCCTAATTCACACTCCTAGTTGAGATCCATTAAGCACTGTGGCAGTTATTGGAAATTTTTTAGTAAATGGT